ACGTTATTGTTAATTTAGGTGACTTGAGTGGTGCTACTCTGCATTTACACCAGCACAATGGAGATCAGAATCTGGCACCTAGTATTTAGCACTTTGGGGGGCTCTCTCTGGAGAGTAGCCATCCACTCTAAACACAGTAGTGACACCAAAGTTTCCTCTAGAATAGGCCACGGCAGAAAACATCCATCTGAAAGGAAGGGTTATTTTGTCACGTTGAAGCAACATCCACCCTTCCAAAGGATGTAGGTAGGTGACTTTGGGGAAGTCACGCAATTCAGGAGAACTTCCATGTTGGGAGGGCCTTTAAACAAGTCCCACCTATGGAAACTTTAGGTGATGCAATTTTTATTTTTCTATCAGAACAGCCTAGTGTCTTTACATTTTAAATTCCTGGGGTGGTCACTTATCCTAGAGTTGCCAGCAAGGCACACTGTCATCAAAACCTGCTGGAAAAGCAGATCACAATTCATACTAGCAAGGGAAACTTTGCTTTCATTCATTGCTATGATGCTATCCTTAACTAAATCACATTAAAGCAGATTACATAAATACAATCTAGCCAGAATATGCACAAGATGACTGAATAAGGTTTGGAATTCCATTCTTCTCTTTAGACTTTTAATGCCTTAAGGAATTTCAAGAATTTGCCCATGAAAACCAGCCTCTTTGTATTATTTTCTGTGGTCGCAAAAAAAAGAAATCTGTTACAACAGGTTTCCGTCTAGATCTAGACTGAGATGGAGTCTCATTCTCAGAACATCTCCCACTTTAGGCCATAATGCACAATTTTGTTACTAATCAGGACCACTTACAATTCTCTTCACCATGCACTGCTTTCCTACTTATCTCCAGTGGCAGGTCTCTTACACAGATTTAAATAGGTCACCTCCAAAATGTTTTCAACTTTTCATCAGAACCCTTCACAGCCTCATTTTATTACAGTGCGCTTAACTCTGAACAGCTCATTCTTTGTACGATAGAAAAATCCACATGAAGGGACTTATGCAGACAAGCAATTTAAAGGAAAATTCCAGTGATCTCTGTCTACAGAAAACTACAGAAAACTTCTCTTATAGAAGGAAGTTATAATGCAATACTTAAAACCACCTGAGACTGTTTCAGAATCCCTGTTGATAAACTGGCCATTTATGCACTCACTAAGGACAGCCATTTTAATAACTGTGACAGGGAACAAGGCTTATAGGCAAGTAAAACAAGATGAGCTGTAGCCAAAGGTGAAAGAACAGCATGTTAATTGCACAGATATAGATGTAGCTCTAACAAAAAACTTCCAGAAACAAACTGAACTTGCTTAAAAAGAGCTGTAAGTTCCCTGCGGTTCTCTGTGTCCGACTGCAACTCCAACGTTCTCCTCTAGATAGTAGCCTGACAATGCAGTCAATTCCCATGTTATTCTTTCAAATGTAATATATATAACATAACATATAGGGCATTGTAATTAAATAATTATTGGTGACTTGATCACATTTGCAATGGATCAAGTGATTCATGACTATTTCATATTCCATTGCAGTTTTCCTCCCTTGCATTTCAGCATTACTGATGCTGAGTTACCATTTCAGTCCTAGAAGACCGGACAAAGCTACACAAGGAGGAACTAAAGAGGACAAGACAAAAGGAAAGTGGAATGGCATATTTTTTTAAACATCATTATTTCTACCAATTCCTTGGATATTTGAAACCAAAAATCTATTCCTTCAGCTTTAACTCTGGGTGAACTGGTTTGTTGTTACAGGATTACACACAGGTTCTCATTTTGGGCGGGGGGGGGGGGAGAATTCAAAAGATGTATATGGACTTTGTAAATATAAAGCAACTATTTTGCATCCATTTTGACAGTTAAAGTGTTTTGAACATAATTACGACTTTTGCTTTGTAAAATAAAGAGAAAGTTTGATGCACTGAAGTTACCTAGTGATCTCATATAGCAAAGCCACTCCCAAGGAGAGTTACAGATTAATCTTACAGGAGCAACTGCCAGGTGGGAGTCAATCTTTATAGCTCAGTGTTTATTGGTAAAGGTGGGAAGTGGGGAAAAGGGGGTTTGAACATAAAAATAAAATGCAAAAAAAGAGGAGAACACAAATAGCCATCTGAGACTTCAGAATACCGAGGACTAGCCCCGTCTTCCAGTACGATTTCACTACTGGAGAAAGGGGAGCAATATCTCCTACGACGACACTAAACAGGGACAGTAGAGAAAATGACTTGTTTCACAAAAGTTACTGTTAGACATAACATAGCATTTCAACAGAGGATACTGAAGTACTTATGGAAGGCACAGTGACACTAGACAGACCAATCTATTCATCAGAATAAACTATCAGAATGTCCATTTCAGTGTAAGCAAAACAAATGAAGAAAAAAAGGTGGGTAGCCTACATGCAAAGTTTTTGATAAATAAACCAAGAATACACAATAAATACAAAGATGACACTTTCAAATTTTAGTATAGCCCAGGGATCTGCAACCTTTGGCACGTGGCCTGCCAGGGTAAGCCCTCTGGCGGGCCGGGCCAGTTTGTTTACCTGCTGCGTCCACAGGTTCAGCCAACTGTGGCTCCCGCTGGCTGCAGTTCACTGTCCCAGGCCAATCAAGGCTGCAAGAAGCGGCAGCCAGCACATCCCTCGGCCCGCGCCGCTTCCCACAGCCCCCATTGGCCTGGAGTGGCGAACTGCAGCCAGTGGGAGCCGCGATTGGCCGAACGTGCGGACGCGGCAGGTAAACAAACCAGCCTGGCCCGCCAGGGGGCTTACCCGGGTGGGCCACGTGCCAAAAGGTTGCCAATCCCTGGTATAGCCCTATAGCAAAATGCTGTAGAGCGGTTCAAAGTTGTGTTCATTGAGTATTTCCGAGCAATGCAGCCTTTGGATTGCCCACCAAAAAATGGCTCCACCAGAAAAAGAGCTATCTACTTATTTGGTCTTAATATATTAGATAGATAGGATAAATATAAAGAAGGAAAGGAGTCGTCGTCAAATTTCTTATATTTGTACATTTCATATTTTCTGGATGAAAACAAACAGCTACTTACAAATGTGGCTGGTAAGCTCTGGTTACATGTTGAGCTGGAACCTCCACATAGCAAGTTGCGCATTTAAGTGGAAGGTACAGAAAGTGAAGACAGGACAAAACGTACAAGTTAACCCCAATACTGCTAAGGAATAATACCTTATTCCTCAGAAGCAGGGGAGATTGTATGTAATCTCATGTCTCAGACATTTTTGCCCTAAGTCAACATGCTAGGTGCCGAACAAATGTTTAGTAACAGACAGCTCCATAAGAGTGCACAGTCCAACTTAAAGACAAGACTGAACAAACAAGTTCAAAACAGACAGACAGAGGGGTTTAGGCAAGGAAGACAAGGTCAACAGTGATAGGAACACTTGGCTAAAGTAATTCACAGGTTCTGAGTATTTCTATACTTAAAAAAAAAAAAAAAACACACCACCCAGAAGACTACCTATTCCCCGCCCCCCCCCCCGGGGAAAAAAAAAAGCCATCAATGAAACTCAGTAATTCCAGCTGGCGACATACCTAAGCATTATCCACTGGCAATTTACTATAGGTGGGACTACATGCAATGGGCTTGAGGATTATTACTACTCAGTATAGAAGAATAAATATGGTTTACCCTTACCTGTATCCACATATACCCTCTGCTCATGTTTAAGTGCAACCACTTTATGTTCAATGCTGCATAGAGCTTGTATAGTCATAACCTTAAATATTACATTAAGGGAACAGCAGCATGGGCAGGCTCATCATGAGCACAACACGACATGTTGAGCAGAGAAATAAACTAACACAGGTCCAAAATCCTCAAAGGTTAAGTGTTTTTTTATCATACTAACACACTCCAGTGCTTTTTGTAGAGCTTGTACATTAACACATCATTAAAATTCTTTTATTTCCTTTGTATAAGTTCTCCACTTATTCAAATGCAAATTCCACCATGCCCATCCTACACAAAGCTGAAACTCATTCAGACAAGATCTTGCCTTTAGATTTTTCTATTTCACAGGCTGGGAATTGTTAAACATAATGTAAGATCTACTTTCCTGATTTCTGCACAATATCCTATGGCAGCAGAGTGCAGCAATCATTCAGGCTTGCCTTTTCTGTTTCTGGCTTATGAGAAACAAATGGATCATGTTGAAGCTGGGGTACTTCCTCAACTTCAGCCTCTAGTTTCAAGGCCTCCCATTTTAATGCCTGATTCAAGAGGGAATGGCTTCTATACTGAAGACTGACAGGACCAAAACTATAGCTACCTTGTATTTACAATGTAGTCTTCATGGCAATCTTCTTGTTCCCCAAATGTGGGATGCATTATGGATACAGCTACAAACTACTTTTCTAGGAAACTTGGGAAACCTCAATGCAGGATCACAGGCCCCAGGACACTTACCAATCACAAGAATGGTGTAGAAAGGACAAGAAGTTTGTCTTCTGATAGCAAGGTTCTCTTCCCACCCCATATTCAGTATGCTCACATTTGCAAGGAACTGACTTTATTTAGGCTAAAGATGGGGCCCTTCCTAAATGTCTTTACGATTTTCAGCAGTAACATGGGCTGTACCAAAATACCATTGTATGTTTCACAGAGAACACAAAAAAGGCAAATAAAATAAATAAATAAGCAAGCAAGCAATACTTGCATTGCACAATAAGAGTGAAACAAGATGGAACAGTGTTAACGTAAGGGACAAATTTCAAGTGGTCATTAGTAGAGATGAGACCAAGCCAAGACAACTTAGAAAAAAAGGACTTGAACGTTCCCAACATCTGAAGGTGTTTGGGTGCAGAGATTTCCTTTAGGCCCATCTCTAGTTACCAGCTCAGAAGACAAAGTGGAAAACATTTTAGGGCTTCATGACTTCCTTGGCCAACTAGATTGGGTATAATAGACTAATATATTTATTCACACACACACACACACAGACACCCAGTATTCACATGCAGGCGCTCGACCTTACCAATTTGGATTTTCCAAGCTTTCCCTGAAGACAGATTCTTCACTTAGAGATGCATATTGTGTCCAGGTAAGGCAATGAGACTTCATAACCATATTTCTTTCCTGCATATTAAGCCAAGATTCTTCCTCCAAGTAGATGTCAGACACTTTTAAGACACTGACCTGCCAAGTGTAAGGATTATAACGTTCAAAACTCAGTATTTTGAGACCAAACAAACACTTTCACATATTTAGAATTTATTTTTATCCTTGTATACTAAAACTGAGGATTAACACTGAGAATGAAGGTACATCAGCTGCAGCCAGTTTTTAATGATACACGTTGACCTTAATAGATGGCAGTGAGGTCATGCAAACGTTCAAAGATTTATGCAAACTGCTCAGTCCCCAGCCAGACTTCCTGGATTGCTAAATGCCAAATAAATGATCTAGCTACATCATGTTTCATTTCTAACTTGTTATGGCCTATTTAAAACGATGGATTCTAATAAGGCTCATTCACAGACTATGGCATGCAAAACACAATCAGCTAAAACTAAGATGTGCAGCACAAACCTACGTCTGCACCCTCCTGCTTCTGGGCTGCTCTGGCCCCCCAAAATAAGTAGCTCCCCAGGAGTAAGTTAAGTTACAGCAGTCTGTTCCCAGCTGCCTATGGGCAGCAGCACTGCCCAGAATCCTCACAAAGCTGTATATTGTGTCTCCACCCCCAACACACCCCTCCTGCCCAATCATGCTCTCTACCATGAGGTTTCAAGGGATCATCAGAAGTCAGCTTATGTCTGTCTTTCTCTATTCCTACACTGGGAGAATTCTTCCTCAGCCAGACCTGATGCTTTTAGAACTCATTCACTCTGCTCTCTCCCTTGTACCCAGTGCACAAAGGACAGAACAAAGATGAGAATCGCACCCTTGAATCATTTTAAGTTCTGTCTGGTATGCGGAAGTTTACTTTTTCCTGTGTGGAAGAAGGATGTAGAATAAAAACACAGATGTAATGGGCATAAATGCTCTCATACTAACTATAAGAAAAGTTACAAGCTGTTAATAAAATTAAAGCTAATTTTCATCAACTGAAATTTAATTGAAACAAGGTGGGTGAGGTTATATCTTTTATTGGACCAACTCCTGCTGGCGAGTGAGACAAGCTTTTGAGCTACACAGGAAGAGCTGTGTATAGCTCGAAAGCATGCCTCTCTCACAACAGAAGTAGTGGGTCCAATAAAAAGATATTACCTCACCCACCTGCTCTCTCGAGCATCCTGGGACTGACATCACAACAGCACTGCATACAAATTTAAGTGAGAGCTCTCTCTCATCACTGCAGTGCAATAAGAGATTCCTTAGATCACCTACATGGAATTTGCTACATCTATATTTCTAGGAATGTCGAAGGAGTGTAGGAATGGGGTGGGGTTGAAGTGACATTGCCGGGTTATAAATGTTGGTTTTGATTGTGACACAAGTGTCTTGGAGCAATCAAATTGATTTTCTTTGCAAGACAGCTTATTTTTTGCTACTTATGCTCTTTGTATTCTTTATTTGCATTACTTTCAGCCAATTACTGAAAACAGCCAATGAAATATTCTCAAGAACTAACTCAAAGCGTTTGGATTGCAAAACACTTCCATGCCGTGTTCATTTTTCCACCAAAGGTTTTTATTGGCATTTAAACAAAAATCCATGGCAGCATTTCTAGAGTGGTAGGTTTTGTAAGAGACTGCAGAAGTGCCGACCTCAAGTATTGTACTTGAATTTTGGTTTCTGAACCTTCAGGGTACACTTTGGTCACATTTTCAAGATTCTCTCTTCTACCAAGAGGGCTAGAAACAAAAGCTAACATTTTCAAGTAATCACAGGACTCTTAAGAGCTGAGCTTTATAAAAAAAGAAAATATCACAAGAGAGCTAGCAACATTAAAGATGTTTCTACAAAACCTATTATTTGGGGTAACATCTCTTTAAAACCCTCAGTTCACACAATCACATCATTTTATAAAACATGTATACAATTATTCAAAATCACTTTAGTAATAGCCACACAGATATATTCCAAGGTCTTCCAGTAACCTGCTTCCATAAAAGGACAGCAGCTTGAAGAGGTTTCAATAAGAGAGAAAACAATTTGAAACTGTTGAAGGATTCATCTTGACTATTTTACAGGAACACGAGAGATGCCACCACCCATATCTTACTCTGTGCAAGACTGAAGTTTTGTCCTTCCTAGCCAAGTGTAAGACTCATTTATACAGAGCCTTTTCATTATTTTTCAAAGAAAAAAAAGTTTTAAGCTTTCTTCTGCCTAAAAAGTTAATGGGAAATCTGGTCTTTTCATGTAAATTGCATCACAAGCCTGTATCAGGATTGTTGTTAGGTTGGGGTTTTTTTTTTTTGTTTGTTTTTCTTTTTAAGTATCACTTTAAAAAATAAAATAAAACAAAACATAATCCAAAGCCAAATTTAACCTGGATTTAAAGTAATTACCTTTCTTAAGATTTCTGGAATTACATTCTGACATGTTGCAATTCTCCTTCTGTAAATAATCCCTGTGGACAAATCTGATCATAAAAAAATAAAGAAAGTAAAAAAAGAATAAATAAGACATATTGAAGAGCTAGCCTGGAAAATGTTGCCTTTTATCAATAAAAATAAAGCATCTGGAGATTTAGCAAGAGAATGAAACTGTAGGCAGGAAGGCTGGCAAACTAATGATGCATTAGACTGTTTTTTATTCATTATTGTTATTATTATTATTATTTAGAGTAACCACGGTATTCCTTCCCCTTTGCCAGACAAAGTGGTAAACAAGAAAGATGCTGACAATCTGGGCTCAGTCTCATTAGGAGGGTATCTGTGCCCATCACTACACTCTAGTACCCCCTACCAACCAGAGAACAGATGGTATTTTACAAACATTTTTTTGGCATTTATACTAGTATTTGTAAAGGGCAAAGCACATACAGCCAAACTCAGCCCTCACATAAGAGGGCATGAAAGCACTGAAGTCAGAGCTGGATTTGGAACATAGCAGCAAAGGAGTTCATTTTCAGTGGCACTATTTTGTTGATGATCTGGGAACAGAGAAAAGTAGAGTGCAAGTATTTTAGTCTGTATGGACTGTTTAGCAGTCAGTCCATGCCTGGACCAAAAACTTTGCTTTCCACTTGCTTCATTCCTCCACTTAATATTCTCAAATATATCCTACCGGCACACAGAATACACTCCTCCCTCTTACTGCATTTGAGGTCTACAGCAAGCTCTTCTGACTACTCATTTATTTTTATATTGAATTGGGCCCCCTGACAAGGACAAAGCGATCTATTAAAAATCAAATGATAGTTATTTAGCATCACCAAAAACGTGACTGGCTTTCAGGATCTCTTTGCATTTTAATATTTAATGAACCAGACCATGTACAGAAACCTCAGTATGCTGCAAAGGGAGACGCCAACTGGCAGACGGCCCAGTTTAACGAGAGCTCTCAGTGATAAAAGACTGTCTTCTCAAAAAGTTTATCTGGTGGGATCTGTGGGCTGTGAAAGGGCTCTGATGGTACATTGGGTAAATATTAAATAGGAGGTGCTTACATGGCATATACACCAGTATTTCCCACGAAAAGGGCTGCTTAGTGCATACTGGTATAATTTTGCTCTCAAAATACACTTTGGCTGATGTCAGTGCAAGTGTTCCATTGTCTCTATGCAGGGGGAGCTCAGCGATACCACACTTGTACAGACAAAGCAGAATACTGTAATTAAGACCCACCATGTAGATCTATTTTAAATACTTACATGGCCATTTTACAGATTGGGAATTGAGGCCCAGAGAGACTAAGTGATTTGCCCAAGGTCACACTGGAAGCCTGTGGCAGAGTAGGGAACGGATCGCACATCTCCTAGGCACCAGGCTCACCACTGGACCATCCTTCCTCTCAATGTGAGGCTGGAGTTTAGCCCTACATGATGATATTTCCATTTGACTGAAAATGGTATCTCTTCCCCAGCAAGTCATCACACTAATCTGGGAGACAGAGGCTCTCTCTATTAGAGCACTCGTGAGCAGCTTGGGCCAGAAGGTGAAGTACAGAAGTTGAGAACTTGAGCACATTTCCAAGAGCAGAAACAGATTGTTGTTTCAGCACAAAAACACTTTTGTATGGATGTTTATTCCCCCGTATTTTAAAATAAAATTGCTTAAGTGTACATACATTGTATATCAGCCAGTGTGCTTAACTGGCAATTTTCCAGTGTGCCTACCAGTAAATCTCTTTTAAATTACAAATACAAACACAAACACTATCTACCCATTAACAGCAGCAAAGGCATCAGTCTTACCAAAATTCTGCCACCTGAGCAAGCGTCTCTTTTCCAGACAGTGTCACGAATGTTTGGCAGCTGGAGAAATCTAAATGCTTTACACTATTTTCGAAGTTCTAGTGGTTAAAGCAACTGGGGTGGGAATCAGGCTTCAATTTCTGACTCTGCCAGTGTCTTATTATAGAATATTGGGTCACTGAACCTCTGTTTCCCCATCTTTAAACCAAAGTAATCAAATGCCAGTTGATTTGGATCACTTAGAGCTAATCTCCATTGACTTCAGTGGGCTTTAGAAAGTCACTGAGATAGCTACAGATGGGAGTCATTACAGAAATGGAATGGACCTATACACTTAGAGCAAGTAGTACAAGGAGAATAGGCAAGTTATGCTTCTAACACTCTCTGAATTACCTCCCAATGTAAAACGTGAGGTGTAAATAAATTGTAAGCTCTTTGGGGCAGAGGCTGTCTTTTTGTTCTGTGTTTATACAGCACCTAGTACAATGGGGTCCTGGGTCCATACCCGCAGCATTACTGAAACACAATAATAATTATAACACCACCACGAATAGATAGCTTACCTGTTTTCTCTTCCATGGTTTTTATAGCTGTGACATGTTTCTCCATAGGACTGGGATACTAGATAAAAAAAAAAAAACGTACAGTGTAAACATCACTATATTTGTCACTTGGGTAAGAGAAAATTGCCAACGCTCAGTTGTGAAATCAATAAGCATTTTCATGGTCTCTCTCAATGGAGAAAAAGAGCAGGCTTGTGTCAAGAGTGTGCACTATCCAGTGTCCATTTAGATTAGCTAAAACATTTACTAAGAGGAGAAATTAAAAATATTTTTAAAATTTACATTTCATTTATTGTGGTGAGGAGGTTTGCTTAGCCTTCAAAAAACACCCAACGTTCAGTCTTACTACAGAACGCTCATATTATTAAACAGAGATTTTAAAGCCTGAGCCAGCATACAGAATACCCTCAAAAGCAGAAACAGAATAAGATTGACCTGTATGACATGATTCTAACGGACCACGGCTTGCAGAAGTGCCACAGCTCCATGAGTCAAATTCATCCCTAAGGAGCTACACTAGTAATAATTTGGACCTTGTTTCCTGCAGTACACTACCTGTAAATGCTGCTGAGCATGCTTACAATACAGTTCATAGCCCGAAGTTATGCAGCAAGGTGCAGGAAAGCTGGTTTACAGTGGCATCTGCAAAGCCAAATACTGTATGTGAGCTTTTTCTGTCCTGCAACATCTTTAAGATTTCTTCTAGAAAGGAAGATGTCACTTCATCCTGTAACGTACTGGTGGGTGTGCACATCCCTCTGCTCCAGCGGTTGGCTTGAAGAGAGGCTAATGGAACTACCACTACTGCCTGCGGCTGCTAAGGAAAGTCTCCTTTAGCTCAAGTAGCAGAGTCATTTCAGAGCTGAAGAAATGAGACTCCAGCTCTGACTCCCCAAGAGAGCGTGTGCAAGAATTATGTAGAAATTGTATCAAATGTCTGAAATATATGAACTCTGTAATAAGGAATTTTTTATGTAGAAACACAGAGGCAAGGGATAAGTAAGTCATTTAGGACGCCCTGTTGACAGAGAGCTTGAGACGGTGAAAAGAACTATATTACCCATTGCTAAAAGCAAGCAACATTCACATGAATGGATGCTGACATCAAAAACAAAAAGCAAAGATAAATCATTGCAATCCAACATGACTCAAAAGTAACTGGACTAATACAAATCCCAGATTAGTATTCAGAAAATACTGAATGCCAGATAAAGATTAACATTAGACAAAAAAATATGAAGAGTGAAAGGAGGTGGGAAAATTACATCTTAAGACTCAATGAGTTAAGGTAATGCAGTGATTACCGGTAACAGATGTTACAGCATCCTGCTTTAAAAGTAACCAGGAATTCTGGAGGAAAAAAGGGACAAAAATTCCGGAAGAGGATAATTGATTCATCCTGCAGTACCACTACAATTATTTTTGTTACTGGGAATAAAAGTTGGATTTAAAAAAGGAAGTACAATTCTGTAGACTCCTATTATGTAGTTAAATCAGAGGCTTCTATGCAACATGCTGCTTTGAAATGGCACAAGTAGTTGTAGAATTACATTATCAATGTAACTTACACTCTGTAAGGCCCAATTGTGTGAAACAAAAAGCCATTTACATAAATCTTTCACTAAATAGCAGACTCTATTACCCAAGTATTTAAAACAGAAACAGACTCAATTTCCTACACAGCAGAGTATAAGAAATGGTGTTAAGAGCCTATAAGCAGATGGAATGGTTCGGCGAGCGTAGCAGTCACAACAAAGTATACTTAAAAGCCTTGGGGGAAGAATGTGGTTGGCTTAGGTTTCCTGAGGATCTTCAAGTACAACAGCAGCAGAGATCAAAAATCTCACTCTGGCTATTTCCTCAGCCCTGGAGTGACTTTGTGGGGCAACTGCCTACCCTCAAGGCATTGGTCCCCACCACTGCAGGTATGGAGGTTCCAGCCCTCCTCTTGGAGTCTCTGATTAACCAGAGAGCTCTTGCCCTTGAGCATGAAATTGGTGGAATCTCCTTCCTTAGAAGTTTTTAAGGTCAGGCTTGACAAAGCCTTGGCTGGGATGATTTAATTGGGTATGGGTCCTGCTTTTGAGCAGGGGGTTGGACTAGATGACCTCCTGAGGTCCCTTCCAACCCTGATATTCTATGATTCTATGAGTGTAAGGGAAAGGGGAAGCTGTGCTGAAGTCAACTTTCCAACATGCCAGCAATCAGGCAGGGACTGTGCACCTGATCACTACAACCATTTAAACAAACATTATCTCCTTGTTGCGAGCTATTGCTAAATACCATAAAATAATGGACAAGACCCAGCTTGCTCTCTCTAGTCATATTTTACTTCCAAAAACCAACCAACCCACCCAACACTATTAGAAGAACATGAAGGATGCAAATTCAAAAAAAAAAAAAAAAAAAAAAAAATCAAAGCTGCAAAGTTAAAAGTTAGGAAGTGCCAGAATTAACGTTGTCAACCTTAATTCTGCCTCTTGTGCATATCCATTATGATACAGTCTTTAGTCACATTTTTCTTCCTTCCTCCTGACCCCTAGCTCCTGCCTCCTCCCTTTTTGTGCCTATATACTTCCCACCTCCTCTATTCCAACCATCAGCTCCTCTTCTTCTCCCACTCCCCCTCCTCCAGTCCCCACTCCTCTCCTTCCCTGCCATCCTCGCATTTCTCATTCCACTGCCTGGACCCAGCAGGCAAGGCACTGAGAGCACTGCAGAGACAGATTCTTTACTTCCATTTCCCAAGCATGGTGCTCCAGTGGCCTGCAGCAGCCAATAAGAGCAATTATAGGGAAAGTCTGGCTCAATCTCTGCATCCTCCTGGATGGAGCATGCTCAGTACAGACAGAATCTTCAGGAGTGATGATCAACCAACATGGTTGGAGTTAGAAAATGTTCATGGTTATACAGGTGAGATATGTTTGCTATGGGTGATGAAAGGGAAAGAGTCATTCAATTGTCCATATTCAGTGCCTGTTCTCATCTTTGACTTGACTGCTAGTGCCTTGGTTTTCTGGTGGTAGGATATATAGTGCAGCAACTTTAATTCCAAGTTAAAAAATTTGGGTTGAAATCATATGTATAAAGCATGACTGTTTTCTTTCTCTCTACTGTCCCTGTGAAATGATTTGATGCCATCTTGTGGTCAATTCTAGAAAGGCATTGAATCGGTCCAGTCCATAGTACTTTTATTGAGGCCAGAATGGGAGGGTGCAGAAGAGACAGAAGTGAATTTCAGGAGATAAAAAAATTGGCAGAGGCAGGATAATTTGCACTTATTACTACTTGGTTTCCTGACAAAATGAGGTGGGGAGAAATGTAATGAGACTGCTGATATCTTTCACCCCCATCCTTTAAAGTAGTTCTCAGTACTTAAAACTGAGGATTGCTAAGATTTCATTTAAACAATCATTTTAAAAGAGTAAGAGACAGCAAATGGATGCAGCACTATCAAGGGGCTGGAGCAAGGACCTAGAGAGAAGAAACCCAGGTTCTATTTCTCTCACTGGCTTTGTGCTTGGCCAATGAACTTTAGTATCTCAGTTTAGGCATAATATTTACCCATCTTTGTAAAACACTCTGAGATCTGAACCCGAAATACACCATAGAAACCTCAAAGTATATTTGGTGGGGAGGGGTGTTTGGGTACTGGGGGACAGTAATTAATAAATACTATTCCTGCCTGAAAAGTAAATACATGATTCGTTGTTATGGTGGCTGACTGACTTGAAGTCTAAACTCACTTTTAAAAACTGACTAAAGTAGTTTCATATTCTACAATTGCCCTAGAGTTCCTCTGTCAATTTGTATGGTTTTACAGACAGGTTTTCCTATTTTAAAACATGGTTTAGCCCTCTATTGCGGTGTGAAAGGCCCAAAGAAATGAGAGAAATTAACTGATTAGGTAGGAGAAACAGTGAAACTGACTTTCACAAGCTGTCAAATCCAAATGCACACTGGGGGTGGGGAGAAGACTTTAAAAATGAAATTTTTATCTCCAATTATTCCTTAGGTGTCAGTGAGGCTCCAGGAAGATCTACGAGTCCAGTTTGTAGAACTGGAGCCACAGATATGATAGCATATAATGATATTTATGCTGTAGTTCAAGTGTGAAAGCCAGCACAAATTCATTCACCATTTCCAATAAACAAACTGGACACAGACTCATAGGACTGGAAAGGACCTCACAGGTCATCTAGTTCAGTCCCCTGCACTCCTGGCAGGATTAAGTATTATCTAGACCATCCCTGACAGGTGTTTGGAGATTTTTAAGAGTGGGTTAGACAATGATGAGTTGTACTGGTGATTATCCTTTTTGGTTATTTATTGAAAACGATTAATTCATTTCTCGTTTTGTAGAATGCCAACAATGTATAATGATTGCATAACTCTTAACTCCTAATGTTCTGTCTTTCTGTAAATCCAGTGACTTCTAACAAACAAAATCACAAGAATTAATGTATACCCTTTTCAAATAGGACTTCCATTTAGAAACTAAAAGAAAAAACGCACACTGTTGTCCCTTTAAAGCCAAAGCAATTTGAAATAAATGATCCTAAATAACACAGTAAACTGAATAAAGTGCATAAAAATAAGTTATGGAATTAAGGGGTATATTCTAACCACAATGCTACTTGCTGGGAGTTATTTGTGGGGAGAATAGACTCCTCGGAGTGTTTAGCTCCAGAGAGGAATCCATGAAGCTTACATGTAATGGTATATATAAAAATAAAAAGTATTTCAAAGCAAGAAAGAGTTGATTTTACATGCAAGATCAAATGGAGCTCAAATAAATCAAAATGGCAACATCAAAGACTGGCAAAAATAAAAATAAATATATATTCTGACTGATTCTCCTTTGTTATCCCAGAGAAATGAAACACCGACATTGCCAAATCAGCTCAACCTTTTCAGGCTTCACAAGTGTTTTTGCGAATACATTTATTTTTATATATTTTTTTTTTTTAAAAGGTCTAGCAAACCCCCGGCACATCAAGTAATCTGTGATCATCAGTCACTACATAAGCCTTTTCACATATGGATATGTTTATTTTA